CTAGGACGTTTTATGATCCTTTATTACTCATGAAATTTACTTGTTAGACTCAACACTTTGGCCAGAAATTAATTTAAACTGTACTTTTTAAAGTTACATAATTATTTTAATTACATTAAAAGATACTCAAAATAAGACAATTTGATTAATCCTCAAATATTTCATTTCTTAATCAGCCATAATAAAACTTTTCCATTTTATAGTCGCATTTATAGCATAATTTCAATTTAAAAAATCTTAATTTGTTTTCTTTTCACCTCAAAGTCTGACTTTTTCCAAACTTTTCTCATTTTCTGACCGAATAAATTGACTTTATTGGAGTGCGTTTCATGTAACATTGGCGTGATTTGTGGTGATTCTGTGTGTCCACATCGATGCTCGCTCACTAATAATACAGAGTATATCCAAACCAAAAAGCAAATACAACCGAACACGCTGCCGATGCATCGGTCGGCCAAGTGCTCGTGTCCGTAGACCGTTCAATACAAAGCACAAACCAAACAGATCTATGTGGACACTCATATATACATGCGGCCTGTCACAAACGCGTGTAGTATCTCGGAGCCAGAGAGGAGTGGACCCTGTGCGCCAATGATAATCCGAGCTCAAGAGGAATAATAGTGTGTGTATGCCAGGCTCAAGTGAAGCTCAGCTCGTTGTGGCCCCAATCTGCAGATGCAGATTTGTGATAAACGAATTGACCCACAATGCAGCAGCGCGGAGACAAAAGCGCTTGATATGATATTCTTATTCGCTTTGTCTCATTTGAAGATATGCACCACTTTAAATAAATTGTGGATTTTTCATTTTGTTCAATCTTCTAGTTCTAATATTATTAGTTCACTTGTGAAGCTGATATTTTTCTAATAAATAAACAAAATTATAGTTAATAAATAAATACAATTAATGAGATTTTAATTTCATCCTCTCTTGATAAAAAAAATTTCGACCCAAATTTTAGAAAGAAAAACTGTTGAAATGTGAATAGTGTGATTAAAGTGTACAATTGTGCATAAACATGGAATAAATATTTTGTGAATTTGAACCATTAAAACCATTTTGGCCTCATTATTTGAAGTTTTATCAATGAGATGCAAAGAAAAATGTTAGCGTACGTTACAAAATCATCACATTCATCAATCAAATTTAAGCTCTTGAAAAAAATGACACCAGCGTTTTATTTGGCAGAATGTTTCAAAACATCTATAAATCAACATTAGTAATCTTTACAAGTAAAGCATGAGATATCTTTGACACTTTCTTGCCAAACTTTAAAAACAACATTATGTGAACCAATCTAAAATTGCTATTTTTTAAATCCTGTTTTTTTTTGTCAAATGAATTGTATTTTTAATATTTAATGATTCTGGAATATACGGAATAAAAAAGATTATTCAAACCTCGTCAGAAAAAATCGTGACACACACACGTTTTCGGCCGATATGGAAATTATCATCAGAATTTATTGACAGTTTTTCCGGACATGATTCATTCGCACATTCGGGGCACGGTTTGGCAACAAGTTTTGCAAAAATTCGGCTATTAGGGCGTAACACACAGTTGCGGTGGTGCTTTGAAGCGCACGCAGTGTGACACACACACACAGCCGCCGCCGTCAGCTTGTCTCGCGCGTGTCCCGCCGATCCGTCCATCCTATTCTAATGCCGCCGATCTCTCGGTCCGTCGGCCCCGAATCAATACTCAGCCGTCGTGCAGCGCGCGGCACCAGCTCATGCGGAAGCAAATATAATAGGCGCGCGGCAGTCGAATTCCAAAAAAAGTGGCGCCGATCAATTTGATCTCGTAATTGAGCCTCAGACCAGCGACTCGACTTTCGCTCGCGTTCATTAGTCACGCGAGCTCCACTGCGTGTACTGTGTCGCTCGCCAAATCGGGTGAATTATGTCAATGTGATTAACTGAACTCATGAGAGAACGTTTTTCCGCAGTTGGCCGCTCCAAAATGAAAGTGAAAGGACATTTTTAGCACAGAGCCGAAACAAGATTGATATATTATGTATATTTTAGATAATTTTTCTAAAACTACTCTCCAGTTTAATCTATACATTTATTCTAAACATGAATTGTTCACAATTCATGCTATTTAAGTGTACCATTTTGCATATTTTTCTGGAAAATAATTTTTTTAAATTGTACGCCTTTGAATACTTGGATAAGAGAAGGGCTAAAAGTTTGAAGAAAAAGTTATTTGATGCAAATATATTGCAAGGAAATAAAATCATATTTTAAATTTACCTCTCTTACTATTTGGTGATTAAGATTAAAGAAGATAAGAAAATCTTGATTTCATCTAGACAAATAGTTATTTAATTTAAATTGTTAATTAATAATATTTATTGAATATTCACTATAATTTTTATATTTAATAAAAATGGAGCATTTAAAATGCACTTTTTAATGTTACAAAATTTAATTCATTTTCCCTTCCTTCTACAGGGCGAATTTTAAACAAAATCAAAAGTCGTCGGTAGCAATTAGTTTGGAAATTGTATGCATCTAGATAACCAATTCGGTCTCTCGCAAATCCCGCAATGCAAATTTGCCCCAATTCGGAAAGTCAGACGGCAAGTAGAGAAGAGTGCAGATGTAAAACGAGCAGCGATGATGCTCGAGATACACCAGGGTTTGTTGTCGGGCTAAAAAAGTAGTCAGCGAAAAGTGTGCTCGTAAATTTTGCCACAGTTGCCATCTTGGCCATTGTTCCTCCTACTCCAACCAGAGAGAAAGAAAAGGAGAGACACCGACCGGGCTAATTAGTCGAGATTGAAACCGAGATTACGATGGCTGCTATTTATGTTATTTTAAAATTATTTTCTGTATAAAAAAATATATTAAAGAACAATCGGAAGAAGCTTCAAAGCCTAAATGAAATCTATGAGTGTGCCATTAACAAAAATCATTGGGTTTTTTTTTAAGAAAAAAATTAAATAAATCTTTTTTATCAAATTTTAACGGATTTTCTATAGCAAAATGCTATATTTTGCAGCTCTCAATTTATTTAATCGCCTCTTTAATTACAGCAAAGTGTTTGAAATGAAACAGCAAAATATAAGTACTTTAACTGCTGTTCTTTGAGGTTGTAGTCAATGAAAATTAGTCGCCTCAATCTCTATTAATAGTAGGGACGACGAGACCCAAGCTGTCTTTGATGGCCTGTGTCTTCCTCCCGACTCTCTTTCTCGCCGCCTTGTTGTTTTTATGGCGTTTTTAAAGGTTTCAGCTTGAGGTTGGGTGGTTGCTATTTTCAGATTATGGTTACTTTTTGATACCGCGCGCTTCCTTTCTTCTTCTTCTCGCACGCGAAAAACTTGCCGGCTGCTCTTTTTAATGAGCAGAGGAACTAGATCAAAAAACGAAGAGAGGCGACGACGGAGCGGCTTCCAACTAGCGGCATGTGCCGGCAGCAGTTTCCTTTTGACCTCCCGCACAGCCGAGGCCCAGAATAATTTGCAAGTTGGCAATTCGATTAGTCGCACTCTCTTCTGCTCGGCGAAAACTTTCCTCCGAGGCTCACTTTCAGCCTTAAGGAAACCGTAAGAAAATTCGCGTAATAATTTTCAAATGGAAATATTTTTTCTCATGCTATAGTGGGAGGATTGTTTTGGATTATTTTGGTTTGAGGCTGTGTTTCGTGTGGAGGGAACGCGTTTGTTTGTGTCTGGAAAGTTTTAACGACGAGGGAACTTAATTATCCGGAAAAATAAACTTTGTGCCTGGCAGACCTGCGGGTAAATTCTCCTTTTGATTAAACAGAAGAAAGCTACGCTCATTATTGGAGAGAGTTTAGTGCAGTGCAAAATCGGTATTTAAATTGACTGGCACAGTTTTTGCTACTTTTATAATTAAACGGATTTTTCTTTGTAATTTACATGTTAATGAAAGGACAGAAGAAACTTCCAATTTCTTATTATGCAATCATTTTTAATTAAAATATAAAATGTTCTAAGAAAAGAAGCCAAAGAGATGCATGAAAACGGACAAATAAATTTTGAAGCCTTTGGAAAAATCTTTCCCACAATAAAACAAAATACATATTTTATTCTTTTAGAAAGGTCATACACAACTTTCATGACTACCCAAAATGCAAATTAATTTCCATTGGCAATTTCCGGCTAATTAGCAATTAACGAATCAGCAGATGACTGCCGATGAATATCTCTCGAGCGATAACGAGCAATTTTTGCCATGTGCTGTCGCAATACGCGAATCGGAGAGCGGAAGGCAATTAATCAATTATTCAAATATGTTCCGAATGTGTTCGGACCACCCAGCGCGGTATTAATCGAGATTTATGGCGGACAGAGTGAACGCACAGTTAGACTCTTCCTCGTGAATTATCATTATTTAATAAATATGTATGTGTGCATATCAAGTGGCATTACGTTCGCCGGTTGCATTGTTTACCGCGCGGACATACGCTGCCCAGAAAACCGTTAAAATAATCTGAAACAGATCGCTGCGCAATAAGCCAACAGCCTCGGTGCACATTCAATGCGCGTCCATCAATTCGAATGGCTTTGCTTGTTGCTATAGAGAGCATGCGAGGGATTCATGTTTGATGTTGCGGGTTTCATTGAATCGAATCAACTCTGAAAGACAATCTCCTCTCCTTTTGAGGATGTACATTTTCTTAACGTTTTTGAACCTTGAAGTCGATAAAGATTTTAAAATTATTTTAAGCATCTTGTTAAAAAAAATGCCCCCCATTTTCATAATTATATTAGTTCTGTGTTATTATTACAATTTCCAAACTTGGATATTTTTTATACTTATTTTAAGCTGCTCTTTAAGTTTTTAATTAATGATAATTTATAGAATTACATTGCTTGCCTCCGATTCAAAATTATTTCCTTTTTTTTCAAATAAATTGTTTTCAACAATTAAATGTAAACAATGGGATGTAACAATTTAGGCAAATGAACAACAACAATTATAAAATTATAATTCATATTTTCGGTTGATTGAAATTGTTTGCTTCAGGTGCCGATGCAACCGGGGGTGGCAGATCTGGCTCACCTATGAAGCAGAATGGAGAGATGTGTGACTCGTGCGGACACCCGGCCCGTCCCGCCGCCTGAGGACACTCTTGCGGTGCCCCAGGTCACGGTCAATATTATGAGACGGTCCAGGCCGCGCTTGGCATGGAGCGAAAACGGTCCTCGAGGCACAGACAGCGGTACCGGAAGCGCAAGACCACCTGCGACAAGATCAAGGACTTCATCCGCGAGTTCATCGCGTTCATGTTCAGCAATGTTGGAATTATTGGCTTGGTCGTTGGCTACACCATCTGCGGCGCCTTCATGTTCCAGGCCATTGAGGGCAACGAGGCCTCAGACGATAGACAGGTACAAATTTTTTAGTTAAAATTTAATGTTTTAATTATTTGGAAGCTCGCAAAAAATTAAATATTCCCAAAAATAATTTTATTCAAGGAGTAAAAAATTTAAATATTTAATTATTGAAATTACAAAATGAATGTAATAAAAGAGATGAAAAAAAATTTAACTAAACAATATCATACAATTTATAATTATTTTAAAAAATAAATAAAATAGTTTCTAGTCTAAAGAAGCGCTCATTTATTATCTCATTAAGTACATATTTTCTTTTCTACAACCTTTGCTTATATTCAAAGTTTATAGTGTTTTGAAAGCCATTGTTTTCTCTCGTTAAGGAGGCAATCGAGGACATCCATGCGGCACGAAACAAGACCAGGGACAAGCTTTGGGAAATTACGCAGAAGTTCAACGTGTTGGAGGAGGATGAGTGGCGCCTGCAGGCCGCTAATGAGATCTACAAATTCCAGCTGGAGGTGATAGAGGCCATCAACAAGGGTTATGACGGCGTGGACAACGTCCAAGACCTCTCGGACACGTCTCAGTGGTCCTTCTCAGGCGCGTTCCTCTACTCGCTCACCGTCATCACAACAATTGGTGAGTTTTTTTTTTTTAATTTTTCATTTGAAAGTCGGCATATCATTTTTTTTAACAAATTTCCCTTATCGATATTTTTTAATTATAATTATGATAAAAACTACTGAAATTCTTAAATTTGTTAAAAATAAAAATAAATGACATTAAATTATGGAAAGACATGTAAAAAAAATCTTTGGAATTTGTGTTTGGCAAAGCAGATACTCGAAAAGCTGATCAAGTGGCTTGTTGAAACCCATCAAAAAGGTGAAAACGCCCGCCAATATTCAGGATAACTCTCGCTCTCCCTGTCAGGCAGCGCGCATATTGAGTGGGAGTTCGTAAATTTAGGCGTCAGTTGATGCGAAAGTAAAAACGGCCGAAACTGCAATTTTATTCCCCCTTGCGGCAAACTCGCCCCGGGTCAAGAGCGATTCATGCAATATTTATTTTTCTCTCTCCCCTTTTTTCCACGCGCTCTCACACATGAAAAAAACATATTTTGCGAAATGTGCTAAACGAACTGGCTGCTGCTGATGATGTTTCGCTCCAACTCGCACGGGAGCGTCGTGCATGTTTTGGCACCGGCCTATGTATTTATATACGTGTGACACAAGTTGCGTCGATAAACAATCCACACGACGCAGGTAATTGAAAAATTAACACCCCGGCTGCAGTCGAGTGCCAAAATTGGCCAATAATTATACGAGAAGGCCGCGCCCACCCGCGAATCAATCATAATTAACGCGAGCGGCGCCTGCGAAAACAAAGGCGCAGTTTTATCCCCCCCGCGTCATTGCTTTTTGATGTCAGGGCAGAGGAAAACTGGGGGCTGTTCAGAGTTAGCGTCACCAGCAGACTTTTTCTCTTCTTTTCACTCGCCGAAGGGAGCAGAGGACTGCTTTTTGCGAAGAGAGAGAGGATTTTCTTTTCAATTAAGATTTTATCACCAGAATCAGCCCTGCCAAATGCAATTTACTCTCAAACAGAGTGATGCAGTTTTCTAAGAAATCGTGTAAAAAGTTTTCACTTTTCCGAAAAAGAGAAGTGAGTTTCTGAAAAACCAATCACACTAGAAGCTCCGGTTGATACTTTAAAGTTTCAAAATCGATTTTGTGCAATTTAAAAAAAAATATCAATATTTCATTTAAGGGATTTCATTTATAGGATTCAAAGCTAATTGAAGTTAAGATATTCCATAAAATTTGAGCAATTGTTAGAAAATTGTTTTTTTTTAACAATGTTTGATAGACCAGACACCACTCAGGAAATTTTAGAAAGTTGATTAATCTTGTATAATTTTGCCCAAAATTAATTAAGTATTTTTTAATATGTTTTCATCATTAAACGCAAAGATATATTCTCTGCAATTTTAAAATTTTAATAATTAATTGTGTTTTTCTCGACAATTATGAGGTTATTATTCATTCATAAATAATTTTAATTAACTGAATTGATAGCAATTAATAAAACATGACTTTTAACAATTCGCAAATTAGTTTTCAATTTGGTAATAAATTTCATTCAAGATTGACCAAAAATCCAAAAAAATATTACTTTCCTTTCCTGATAACATATGAGATTGTCGCTGAACTCCAACCCTTAAATTGTTTGCTCCGGAAAAGGACCTAGCGTCGTTGTTAATTGTTTTCTTCAGAAGTCAGCCCCTATTTTTCGCTCAGTGCCTCCAGCTACAGTCATTTACTTTATATGAAATATTAAATATGGAATCACCACGGAGCTTTATCGGACAACAGCCCTGCATGGTGTGTCTGATGCTGCCCTTTAAAGGCAGAGTTCATATCCGGCGCGCGCCATTTTCCGGTCACCAAATCTCTCATTTCCTCTTCTTTTTCACCCCTTTTTGCCACGCGCGTGTGGATTTGGAGCATGCTTTTCCCAATTGACTGCCCAGGCGACCGGCCGACTCTAAAGCCAGCAGTGCTAAACCGACGCTTTTTCCGCGTCGCCTTTTAATGAGAGTGCAGCAGCTAGAAGCAGAGGGAAAGGGAAGAAGAGAAAAAGAAAAAGGGCTTCTTCGTGCAGCACAGAAAATAATAATGAATGGGCTCGGAACATTCCAACCGCTTCACGTCGAAGAGGAGCATTAATTATGCAAAATTTCGATTTCATATTCAGTTCAGTGTATTCATAATTTATTTTCCTTAGAATTTTTACCCCAAATTTTTTATCTTTAAATGAAAATTATTTTTTTCAATCAATTTTGCATCACGTGCCAATAATTTGAGCATAAAATTAAATTCAAAACAAAACTAATTATACTTATTTTCTCAGCAGTGAAAATTGTTTTAAATTTGCAAGCCTCGCAATTAACCTCTTGCCCGTGCATAGCAGGGAGCAATTTGCACACAAGCAAATTCAGAAAATGTGAGGCTGCGGTTTTGCGGTCGACGGCAAACGAGTTTCCTGCTCTGCCAAAACTTTTCTCTGCGCTAAGAATCTATAACCCTCTGCCAATGAGGCTGCTTTACGTACTCGGCTGAGAAGCACACAATAAAGGACCCAATTTTAACGGGCAGGCCAAGTGAGTGAGAACGGAAGAGGGCGAATTTTCGGCTGGTGCTAAGGCATAGAAACAGGCATAAAAAAGGTAAAGTAGGCGCAGACCTCCTCACGATCCGGATACTTGGAGTTGGGCAACCTCGAAAGATTATGTTTTGAAAAGCCGCGAGCGAGGGTTGGAGGCGCGGCGAGGCAAGAACAAAAGGGCGGCTTTTGAACTTTATTTTAAAAAGAACGGAGCACATAATATTTTTCTATATTTTGGTCAGAACTAAATTGGTACATTTTAAAGCGACATTCCTTCTTTGGAAAACATAAATTAACAAAAAAAAATTTTTTTTATGATTTCGGTACTAAACCTTTAAAGTTTTTTTTATAAAATTTTGTGCCAGTCTTAAATGGAATCAAGGTAAATTAACTAAAAAATTACAAATTACTTTTCAAAGACTCTGATAGACCTTTTTTCTCCACAGACAAAACTGATTATTACATATTTGTATAGTTAATGTTCATTTTAAGCTCTTCAAATCTGAGTCACAACTTTTTCATTTTCATCTATCTTAAAAACGATTTTAATGACGCTGCAAAAGTAGATGAATATTTTTGATCTTCAAATCGATTCATATAATTATGATATGTTCATAAAATCTGCAAGAATTTCAAGATACAGCAGGCAAGAAGCTATTAAAGGCTTAAAATTGCCAAAGATTTTTGTATTTACAGGATCCATCTAAAAATACCAGACGAATCAAGCCACTTTATCTGCGGCCAGTGATTTACGCCACCTGACCCAAACTGTGCAGATCAATTGTAAAAGTGGCATTTAGTTCTAATTAAAACAATATTTTTTTTTGCAATTTAATGCAGCTTATTCCTCTACGCGTGAACATTTTTGCAATTCAAACTTTTAATGGAACTGCAAGAAAAGAAAGCGTCCTGAACTGACTTGTTATATAGAGTGTCGTAATTCGGTACGAAACTCAAAAATTGTAAGAAGCGTCAGCAGCAAAACCCCTTCACTTGATCATCATAATAAAAAATTCTACCTGAGAGAAGGTCTGCGCTGACTGGTCTCTTTCCAGGACGCCTTTCAGCTGATGATGACGGGTTTGCCCACCTGATAAGTGGGTGTCTCAAAAACAGTCCAGCGCTTTTGGTTTCTGCAAGGGCTCTGGTTCCTGCGATCCACTGACTGCCACTGAAATTCATACAAGTTTATTAAAATGATGATTATTTTCAATAATGCTGTAGAGATTTTCTATTCAATTAAGAAAAAGTGTAAATTCAGATTTGCACCAGACAAAAAAGGAGCACAACAATTTAAGAATTACTGTTTAGCTTAAATTAATTTTAATTCTTTTAAAAATTAAAATCCATTATTTCTTAATTCTAAGTGAAGGATAATTGTAAATTTTAAAACATTTTAATTTTTTTCGTTAGGTTGTCTTGACCGTTACAAAGAATTGAGTTACAAAGAATAGGAGCGAATTAAATTGGCGAGATTTTAGACATATAGCTGCTTTTTTTCGCCTTCATCACATTAATTTCTTCGATTGGTACCCTAAGACACTACTTTGCATGGGAACATTTGCGCTGCCAACCTATGAAAAAACACGTCGCGCCTAATATAAAATTACCGGAAAAAGTAGGTGCCGAGCGAAAAGAGCCGCTCTTCTTTCTTCTCCTCGGCAACAATAACACGCGCAAAGGGCCGCCTAATGGTGTGCTCTCCGCTCTCTCTCTCTTTGCTAAAATATAAACTGACCTTTTTGCTCGTTCGCTTTTTTCTGTCGGTCGGCCGATGGTCTCTCTCTCTCGCTCTCCATGTGTTTTTATTTGCATCGCACAGATCTTGGCCACGGCACTGCGCGCTCGTAAAAACACACGGAATGAATTTAGAAGACCTTTTGCTGGCGAGAGCGAGAGTGTGTTTTTGTTGGATTTGCAATACAAACCGTCCCGAAATGATACTCCACCCTGCCTATGTGTGCGTCCACACGTAATAGGGCCCTTGTGTTAATTAGACCCTTGATAAGTACATTAATCAAAGGGGAACAAAGCGAGTTCTTCATATTTAATGCATTAGTGCTGTTTCCAAGGAACGAGAAAAAAAAATTGTACCCGGGTTCAAATTTTAAATTCATGCTTTTGTTAAGCAGGAACCTTTTGACCTTTCATACAAAATTCAGTTATGATCTTTTCATCAATACAGCGGATTGAATTATTACTTAAAATATTAGCTTGAAAAGGGTACATTTTTTATTTAAATATCTCATCTGAATTTAGCATCACATTTTATGCATCTGATAATTATTGTTAATATTATGCATGTGAATCGTCAGAAATTGCCAGATATAGTTCATAATAGTTTCTCCGTTATTTGTACAAAAAAAAACAATAATCTATTTATTTATAAATATTTCATAAATAAATACGTCTTATTTATGTTATTTCAAAAGAAAAATAATGGCAATATAATATATTATTTAATTTGAAAA